TAGTTTTTTTAGTCTTAATTTTAATTTCATTGAAGTTATATTGCAATACTTTAATTGGCTTCCTTTATATGAATTGAAAGCCTTTTCACAATAACGTTTATCGGCGATTGGTTTTCGATTTCACGCAACGCCGGTATAGCTATACTTTCGACCACATATTAAAACATACTGATTAATTAAGTGCCACTCGTACAATTGTGAACTCCCAGTTAATTGGCAAGAAGAGTATCTTAACAATTAATCAATCATAATTATAGGCGATAACGTCTTCATAATAACCGAAAAATCGCATGTACTTCTGAGGTCTGAGTTCATACTATAATCTAGTCGTAGTGTTTGTATATTACGGTTGTTTTACATTTAACAGTTATTTCTTAAAACAGCACTTCCTTGCCGATAACCCGAATTGAAATAAGCATGGGATTTTTATCCCCTGAACGTAAATGAAGTTTGCCACGATGTTTGTGACACGCAAAAGGAAACGTCGGAGACGAGGTTAGCAGATATAGCCATGTCCATCTGCCTGTCTATAGGTGTAGGTTAGGTTAGGTTCGCATAGACCGATTTGCGATACCACATGGAGTTTGGTTACTAGGCCCACAAAGAGTCATCCTTTGGGATGCCTAAGCTTGACACAAATTTTAACAGACTCTGTGGCACACCGTGGGTTGCCACCAGCCAGGAACAAGTTAGTATTCCGATAGGTCCTACAGTATCTTCTATCGAGTGCCAGTAGGAATTTTGTATACTTCTGATCTACCGTTTTGCACACGGCTTTTGCAGTTTTACATCCAGGTAGCCAGGCTCGTTCAATCGGATTGTGATTTCCTTTGTCTTGCTTCTGTCCAGATCGTCGTACTTCCCAAGACAATTCTGACCGATGCGTGTTACGCGGTTACTGCCTTGATTGGTGCTTGGCTATCTACGTAGATATTGATTCTGGAATAGCCTACAGGTGCACTATAGGCCAGCTCGTAGGCTTTCACAATAGCAAAAAACTCTGCCTATAGGTGGAAGGTTTGGTACCAGTTCAAGAGCCGCCGTTGGAGTTCTTTTTAAAGTTCCCGTTATGCACAGGCCTGCGAGACTCTGAACACTTTCCATTGGCTTCCAGCAGGTGGATTTCCTTACGCCTGTCCACCATACCACTTTACCGTACAGCACAATTGGTTTTACTGTAGCTGTATAGAACCAATGAATGGGCGGGAGAGAGCCCGCAGGTTGTGCCGAGCATCTGCCTACACGCAAATTTGGCAAAGCAAGTAAGCTAGCCTTTCTCACTCTTTCTTCCACATTGTGCTTCCACAGCAGTTTCTGTCCAAGACCACCCCAAGGTACTTGGAACAGTTTTTGAGAGAGACTTATGTATGTCCTCCTCTATGTTATAGAAGGTGAACCTCCTTAGAAAAATTTAGTGCTTTCTTGTGAACAAAAGCAGTTCCGTTTTCTTCGGGCTCAGCCCCAAAACCGCTTGCGACGTCCAATTCTGGACTGTATTGAGAGAGGTGGTCATAATACTGCTAAAGGTCTGTAGACACTTATCAGTTATTAAGATGACAATGTCGTCCGCATATGCCACTATCGTAGAGGCTTGGCCGGCCAAGTTCTTTAGCAGTTCATTCACCACTAATGTCCACAGATGCGGGGATAGCATTCCACCTAGTGGAGTACCTCTATAGACCTTTCTGGTCATTCTAGCGTCAATTATTCTACTCTTATACTTCTAGAGGTCAATAGGCTTCTGATCCAGCTTTGTATAGCAGAATCAGCACCTATTGAACTATAGGATATATATTACCCAAATAACTGAAACTGATCAGTCGAAATCAAGTCCTTGTACCCCAAAGTTTTTATTTCATAAGATATCTCCACTAAACCTGGCCTAAACTATTGTCTAACCATAGTGTAGTTGCCATGCAAACGGACTAATCAAAGCCAATATACAGATCTTTTTATACTCTATTAAGTTTTAACAAATGCAACTGTGAAGGGTAAAATAGCGTCAGTGCAGTCAAAGTCAACGTTTTTTTCTTGTTTCTCATTGATTTCTGAAGAACTCAACTCAAAAGGAAAAACTTATTTAGGTGAGAAGGGAGTTTTTAGCCCTAAAATTCACATCTATTTATCCACTGTCGGCTGTTCGGTACTTTTCGGGTGCTATCGAAGACAGTAATTCATATCTCACAAATTTTTGTTTTAACATTAGTAATTTAGCATCTTAGAAGAAGGAAATAATAGTAACATTTGCTTGTCATTCACCACAACAAATATCATAAATATTTGCTTTGGACACTATCTGGTGATAAAAACAAAGCGAATTAATTATTATGGAGAAGTTATAAAAAATACTGACTGCGATGATTGTGCTATTTCAAAAGATTTGAAGTTGATTTTATTTGGTCCCCTTTACGAAAGGTTGACATATTTGCTTATTTCTTACTAACTGGTGATCCAAGTAGAGGTATTATTTTTCAATAGCTTTTTTTTTAACAGATCACGCATCAATCCATGTTTTTATTGAGAGAACACTTCAGTAGTGGCGTGATATCACACTTTAGACTTTTTTCTATGGGGATATGTAATTTGGATCTCTCTATTTTAGTATTCATGTTTTTGAAGTTGGTATAGTTTTCTTCACATTCTACTTTCTAGTATTTCCCGAAAGGTATGAAATAATTTGGGCTCTTTATTTCTTCGTCTACATACACTATATAAAGTAAGCTGATTATAAAAGATAAAAATGATTATTATAAGATAAGCTCGCATTTATATGCCAATATCGTACGCACATATCGTTCACAGTAATGGCGAAATAACTATTTTAGCCTTAAAAATTTAGAATGCTTACATTCTTCCAAGTAATTCAATCAGTTCGTCGAATGGGAGAATATTTAAGGGGCTAAGTCAGATTAAGGTCTTCAAGAAAAATTGTCTAACTCTTATCGGAGTGTACTGGAAAATTTTAAGAGCTGGAGTGGACTGACCCTAATGCTTTGACGCTACGACAAGACAATAAATACAATTGTTTCAGTATTCGACCAATTGCGTAATGTTTTTTAGGACCCCAAATTGTATTTTAAACCAAAGAAACATTTTTCGATTTTTAGAAAATGCTACAAAGCGTACATTTATTTCATTATTTGCTTGTAATTTTGCAACACGTTGCTACAGAGTATAATAGTTTTTCACCTAACGGTTGTACCAGGTTGGTCAATAAGTTTTTTCGTTCGATAAGAGAGAATGTTGCTATTAGCCCAAAATTTTTGTTTGTTTTGTTGGTACACTCTTCATATGAACGTATGTGAAGTTTCATTTGAATCTGTCAATTTATTCATTGTTTACAAGACATTTAGCGTCGGCGTGTCCTAGTATTTTTTTACAATGAAAACAATTTGATATCGTGCAGTGATAAAATTGTTATTTTTGGAAGGCACATCTCATTCGGCAGTGCCAGTCATATTTTAACGCCTTCTACCCGGCGCATTTTATCTATGTTTCTACATATTGTGTGAGCAAGATTGTCTAGTTGTTCATATAACGGCACTTTTCCTTTTAGAAGAACTATAAAAAAATAAATTTTATTTATGTTGGAAACGCCTACAAGCCATAAAATATTATAATTCCCCAATCTAGTTTATTTTCACGATCCACGCCGCCAGATAAATAAATTTACCTGTGAATCACCTGTGGTCTATGCCGCTAGAAAGCGCAGTGCCCGTGGACCTCCAGAGGTCCGCGATGGGTACAACGTATTTAGTGAAATTTTGGTTTTTGGAACGTTGTGTGTACAATGGGTGCCGCATTCGCTAACAATGGAACAAAAACACATTCGAATGTGACTTTCTCAGCTACATTTGGAGCGTTTTAAAAATGATAATTGCATTTTTTGCGTCGATTCATAACTCTGGATGTCCCTTGGGTTTATGATCCTGAATCAAAACAAGAGGGTAAAGAGTTGTGTGAACCAGGTTGCTTCTCAGCGAGTTCTTTTCCGGAAATGGCATTAGTTTTTTGGGATGCGAAATGAATTTTGTTTGTGCATTACTTGCAAACTGGTAAAACAATTAAACAATTTGTGAAAAAATCCGATTTTCAAAAGAAAAACATTCTTTTTCATCAAAACAATGCACCATGTCATAAGAGCATTTAGAAAATGGCTAAAATCCATAAATTATAGTTCGAGTTGTTGGAGCATTCACCAGATTTGGCCAAATAGATGTCGGCCTTGGTTAGGTTATTGTCTTGTTTACAGGAAAAGCGGTGTGTACCCGGGCGTTGTCGTGGTGCAACTTCCAATCGTCTATGATGTCTTTTCGTACCTGATTGACCTTTCGTTTGAGTCTCTTGAGGACTTCCACGTAAAACTTGGCGTTGACGGTTTGTTCAGGAGAAACAAATTCATGGCGAGCGATGCCTATGATGTCAAAAAAGACAATGACCATCGTTTTCCCTTTAGATTTTCTCATTCATCAGCGAGCTCTTCCTGGCCCTTCAAAAAGGCCTAGTGCCACTGAAATACATCACTTAAGCAACATCTGCGTAGGCCTGCTTGATCATATCAAACGTTAAACGTCGCAGATTTACCGAGTTTAACACAGAATTTAATCACGCAGCTCTGCTCTAACGAACGCTACATTTTCGGCTTGCACCATGCAAAATGTTTGTCCTGACTCTCCAGGTGCTCGAAGACAACTGACCAGCCGCTTGTTCATTAGCTAGGAACGACCTTTACTGACTCCAGTCGTTGCGTGCACGCTTCGAAGTACAGGCGCGGCGGAAGAAAGTTTGTTCCAAGTTCCAAGAGTATAAAATGCTCAATTGCACCCGATATTAGCACTTCCTTACTTGTTTATGTATTATATACTGTGCACCAAAAATAAGGTGATTTTTTTTATGTTGGTAGTACTGTCAGTCACATTTATATCAAATTTCATATCCGTATATAATATTTAAGTATCATTTAAATTTTTATTTACAAATTTAAAAAAAATTTTTTTCAGAGCCCAAATGCGGTACGAATACAGCTAAATGTGATATTAGACTGAGTAAGTGAAATTATTTACACTTTGTTATGTTAAATTATTTTCACCGATTTTTAATATTATTATATATATTTTACTCGTTGTTCACATTTATTGTGTGCACCACTGCATAATTTTTTAATTAAATACATTAAGTTTTTATGTGAGAAAAAAGTTAAAACATTGTTGAGTAGTGTTCATTATAATATATATAAATTAATGCTTCAATAATTAGTAATTAGCTTATTTTTCTCGAGAGGAATAGCCTTCCGAGTCACAAAATCCATAAGTGCTTCGTATTTGACGGGTTCCGACTCCCTTCTTTAACCTCCGCCCAAAAAATCGCAATCGCACTGTCTTGTTGATAAAATCATTTCTTCGAAAATTTCCACTCAGCGTGTTTCAATATAGTCGATTCCATTATTTCAACGTACAATCTGGCAGACATATTTTCTTTAATTCACATAAATGGACTTATACCATAGTAAGAGATGTACTTCCATACGTTGGTTTTAGTACCCCATGTTTTGCCGTCCGGGCAACATATCTGGATTCAAATGAAACGTTTTCTGTCTTTGGTGGATACTGTCGGCGGCCTCGGGCACCAAATAAGTAATTTTTCGTTTCGACGGAAAACAATATGGCCAATGCAGATGAACTTTAACTGGACATTGAAGATAATCTTTACCAAATTAAGCTTTGCCTGCACATGCCGGAATGACGGTAATGACTCCTTTCTTGGGCTTCTTCGGAAAAGTTTAAAATTTTTTCTTTTAGTGGATGCAGTAACACTTAAAATTTTCTTTTTGTCCATTTTATCCGAATTTTCGATAGACTTTAAAGATTTTCCTTCCCTCAAGAATTTTTGAATGAGATTTCGTTCTTCCTTAGAACAGTCCCCAACACGGACAATGTTTGAACAAAATTATGTTTTAAAATTTAAGGAGCGATGTTTTCACCAAAGAATGGTAGAATCCATATTTAGTTGATAAGATTCTTTTAAGTGTAAAAGCAACATTATTTTACTTTTCACAAGCCATTGTTATTATTTTGAGCACTATTGTTTGAAAATATATGTTACTCAGCTTTTGAGTTGTAGTTAGTAGGTTTTATATACTTATTATTCTTCTTTCTTAATTTCCTATAGTTTTTTCTTCCTCATACAAAAAGTAGAAATCTCGAAAGTCACATTTTTTGTCGCCATCACTGTATGTTTCTATGACTAATATTTACATTGTCACAGGTGAATGTAAATAGATAAAAGAAACGAATTGTACTCGTAATTATTTGCTTATCATAAGTTACCGTTATCTACCCCGGCAGTTATTTTGGAAGCTTAATTAAATTTTCGCAATAAAGAGAGATCTTCCTTGGCGTTGATTATAACTTTGAAAAGATTCTGTAATTATATTCTTAAGTCTTTTAGTGAAGTTGAGTAATAAGAACAATTGTCAGAGTAATTTATGTTTGTTGGTGTAGGTTTTTTTTTTCAAAATCGTTGAGAAAGAGTTTATACAATACTTTGCCAACTTCTATACATATTGTGGAGGAGCTTTGAATGCAAGCAACCGCCGTGCTCATCAAATAATATCGGGGAGGTTGTATAGTATGAACTATAAATCCACAAAACCATCGATTTTCTTACAGTTTACCGTTTTACCAAAAAATGTTCGAAAATCTATAATTTTGTGCGTAAGACCTCATAATAGAATATCAACACTACTCAACAAAACAGAACGAAAAATTTGCGTTTGATGTATATTACTAAGAAGTCTGTGGTGTACTAGAGGTGGTCTTGATTATGAATTTTTGTCAGTTTAGTAAATGGTGGTGGTTTGACCCCTGCACTACTTGATTGCAACACAAAAAATCCTTTGTGTTAGAGAATTTTTACTATAATTTTCGGTTGCAATGATCATCTATTTCCTATCCATTGCCCCAACTGGTTCATATTTTGCATTACAGCGTTTGATCTAAACTAGTTTTCCTTTGATATGTCCTGTGGGTATGTTTGAGTTACCGTGGCTGTTAGCTAACAGTGAAATCTGCGAAGAAGATGTTCAGATCGAGCACAGCTGTCAATTTAAATTGATCGATCAAAATTTAGTTTTGAATCTTTAATGTTTGTGAGGGGTATTGCAACTGGAGAAAATGTTTCTTTCATGCTGGAAAATAGAATTGCATCGCGAACATTTTCGCGCTTTTTTCTTTTTTTTTTTAACTTTCGACGGGGGCTAAGATAAAACGGTGAACGATGAATTTAATTACATTTTTGTTGATGAAGCTTCATCAAAGACCAGTGTTTATGGATGATATGATTAATTCAATCGAGGTCGTAGATCACTCCAAAACGAATTTCAGGGAGGTCGTCTAAATTATTTGTTGTGTGAGCAAACTGACATTGTAAGATTGTCATGTGACCTATCGTGAAATTGAGACAAATATATGCACTAGTGGGACTAGCTTACATTAGACAGCAGTCGACAGCATAAATATTTGAAATTTTTTTTTTTTTTAATTCAACAAGTCATAACCATACCAGTATAGCAACACAGAGCAGTAAATTCTGAGTGGTATGCAACAATTCCATGATAACAATAAGAGCTCCCACAAAACGGACTGACGTATGGTACAAATTCACGCATTTTACGTCGAGATCGTAAATCGAAATCATAAAATATATAGTTTTGCAAGAACTGAAGCCGTTTAGCCTTCCCATGAGTCATCGCTTCGCTTTATGGGCTCTTGAAAAGTTCCAAGAATATCCGGCATTTTCGTGACAAATTTCGTTCAGAGATAAGTCCCATTTCTGCCTAAACAAGCAAAAAAGCCGCATTTGGGACGAAATACAACATGAAGAGATTCCAGAGATGCCATTTCATCTAGAAATACCACGGTTTGGTGTGATTTGTGTGCCGGTGAAATCATCGGTCCATATATCTTCAAAATTGATGCCGGTGAAAACAGAACCGTCAATGGCGACCCTTTTAGGGCAATGATAATCGATTATTTAATGCCTGAGCTTGAGGCTCGTGATCTCGGCGACATTTGACAAGACGGTGCCGCTTCCCACACATCGCATCAATCAAAGGATTTATTGAGAGAACACTTCGGTGAACATGTAATATAATTTCATGTTTTAGGTCGGTCGATTGACCAACAAGATCGTGTGATATCACGCCTTTTCCCTGTGAGGATATGTAAAGTCTAAAGTCTTCTCTTCCGTTCAGGCCTTGCAGATAAACATCATGCTGTCATTCGCTAGTTACCAGTTGAAATGCTCGAACGGGTCATTGAAAATTGGACTCAACGGAGGGATCATCTGAGACATAGCCGGAACCAACATTGGAAAGCGATAGTATTCTAAAAAATAAATGCTAAGTAATGTTCTTTGATAATAAACATTTCTCATTATTTTTGAAGTTTTTATGTTTTTTTTAAGTAGGTTATCTCGAAATGGATCACCCTTGAAAGGCAAAATGCGTGCTTCTGTTTGAATTCACCTCCTTGCCTCATTTGCATTTTAAAAAATATGGGCATCTTACTTTTTTCCAAATAATTTTTTGTTTTATTCAATTTAGACCCACATACATATTAATATTCATATCTACAAATATTTTGTCTTTATCGATTTTTTACTCTAAACATACATACTTACAGATATATTCAGCTTAAGTCTATTTAATCATTATTCAGACACACACACATATACATAAAAGTACATAAATATGTAAATACTGATTTCTGTCAAAATCTTTATATTTTTTTATATAAATGCTTTGGTATCAAGTTGTTTATACAAGTAGCAGAATTCTGCTAAGCATTTCCCTATGCCGTTGACTGTTGCCTGGCTGCTTTGACACCGAGTCGTTGCATAATAAACAAGACGCTGAAAAAGTAATAATATTAATAAATTTATTTATTTCGTTTTTTTTTTTTAAATACACTTACGTAATTAGCACAAGGCATATGCAATAAATTGCGGCACTCAACAGGTAAAACGCACCAGGATATGACTCCAGTGTCGCTCTGTAAATGCCGGTGTAAACCGGCGCTGAAGCCAGCGGCGAAAGCGTTTGCAATGAAGAGATCACAGCGTAGATTTTGCCTGCAGTACAAAAGCCAAAAAATGTTGCAACTTAATTTGTATTAAAGCCCAGAATTTATGCGCCAACTCACCGATTTCGGTGGCTTCTACTAAGCCTGCGAGTACCGCTTGCAACATCGGACTGTTAATGCCACCCATGAAACCACAAGTCGCGGCCAAATACATCTGCCAAAATGCCTGCGCCAATGAGCGTATTAAACTATCAGTGAAACAACCCAACAAGCCAAGCATGGCGACAACTGTAAGAGGTGTCTTGAATAGCTGCAAATAATTTTGGAATATTTTTGTTATTTTTTGATACAATATTTCATATCAACTCTTTAAACTCACCACTCGCAATATCAGTAAAATGAGACCACAACCAACCATTTTAATGCAGATCGTGACGGCATTAAAGGTCGTGAATTGCTGCAGCGTGAGATTGAATTTGTTGCGTAGGAACAGATAAAATACGTTGGACTCACCCTCTGCAAAGAAAAATCTATTAATATTTATCGAATTTCAAAGTCGAAATCTACACACAAATATTTGAAAGAATATTCCAATGTTGATTTTATTTAAAAAAAATTAACTAGTGGCAGTTTGTAAAACTTTTTGATGTCTATAAGTTAGTATTTCATTTAAAATTTCCAAACAGGTGGCAACCCTTCCAAACCTATGTTCAAGCAAAGTCTTCCTTAGAATATACAGTTTGATAACCACTACATTGTAATATTTCGTTAATCTTATGCGCTTTACTGCTAGTAAAGTTTCAAATAGGTGGCAGCTCTATACTAAAATCAGCTAAAACTAAAATTTATCTAAAACACATTACATTTATTATGTCTTTTACAAATGCCTTTCACAAATGCATTATATTTCTAACCAACTTTGCCATATTAATTTTATTTTAGCAACTCGCTTGAAAAAAAATTATGAAAAGGTGGCAACTGTTAAAAAAATAGCTTCAAAATAAATATTATTTAAAACTGTATGTTTTGAAAACAATAATTCAGTATTTCATTAAAAATATGAATTTCTAAAACAGGTGGCAACTTCAGGCAAAATTTTTTTCAACTAACATCTTCCTAAGAACCTACAGTTGATAGCCACCATATTGTAAGAAATCGTTAAATTTATTCGTTTTATTGATTAAAATTTTTAAACGGGTGGCAACTCTGTTTAAAAATTATTTATAACTGCACATAAGCTTTTCCAACATTTTTCGAAATTTCAATATTTAGTTTTACTGTTCAGTTTTTCGAACTAAATATTTTCGCACAGGTGGCTACCCTGTTCAGAAATTAGTTATAACTGTACATAAGCTTTTACAAAATTTTTGTAGAAATTAACTGTAATGTTTTTTTTTTGGCTGTCTATTTTTTCCACATAAATATTTTCGCACTAGTGACAACACTCCAGCTACTTCTCTTGAATTAAACAGAGCAACTTGAAAATATTCCAATCCTTTACTAAGACTACGCTCAAAATGGTACTCTGTTATATGTATGTATGTACAACGCAATTGTAATTTCGTTCGTGTTAGTTATGCTGTCCTTAAAGAAGTTTTACCTCAAAACCACCTTAAACCACTAGATGGTGTTAGAACTAATCAATACTTACGCGTTACAAATGTTGTAGTGACCAAGGTGAACATTATGCACCAAATAATGGCACGATCATAATGTGGCCTGCGCTTTAGACAGCTTCTTACCAAGTCCTTGATCAAGCCGAACTTGAAGAACTCTCGCAAGTGTGACTAATGAAAGATAAAAGGAATCTCAATATTATTTTCAAACGGTTTCCCAGCCATTAAAAACAACTTACCTCCTTTCGTTCGTGTTGTATCTGCAAACTTTCGTCCACGAAGAACAGCAAATACAGCAACGCTAGCAAATCAATACTGGCAGCAATAGTGAATACGCCTATCGTACCGGTTCCAGCCAGTATATAACTGCTGATCACATTGCCAATAAGCATACCAATACCCAAGGCGCCATCTACAAAGAACATACTATATATGGGAGGGTATATTAATAAAATATGTGGTCAACGATTTTAATAAATTTCATTTTGCTCAACACCTACCGTCTTGCCTTACCGCCTTCGTCCGACACATCGGAGACTAGACAAAACACCATTGTTATTAACGCGCAGGTGCCACCGGTCAAAGCCAATGGTACATTCGATAATATATAAACCCATGGATTCAAGGGTGTTAACAGAGATATTGCTGCGAGAATTGTTGTTATAGAGTGTCCGATGAACCCCGCTATTTGACGAAAACGTTTCGTTGCATGCATTTTTTTTTTTGGAATTTTTTTCAATTATTAAAAGAAAGTGCTTACCTGAGAAAGTTGCTACAAGCACCGGTCTGCGTCCAAACTTATCCGACCAAGGTCCAATAAATAAACTGAGGAATGCTGGCAAAACACTGCTTATCACCGAACTCGTCATTATAATGTTGGCCACATAGGGTTGTACTTTTGTTTCGATTTCCTTCAAATACGAGATGGATATAATATAACAAGTAAAATTTATTATTAAATTGAATAAAATAAAAATTAACGCTAAGAAAGACTTTGTCGTCATTCCAAACTATTTTGTAAAAGTTTGAACAGTTAAAACTATTTTGTCTATGAAATTATATCTGACGAGCTGAGTCGATTTAGCCACGTCCCTCCGTCTATCTGTATAAACGCGAAATTACCCTTCGGTTTTCGAGATATCTATCTGAAAATTTGCACACGTCCTTTCCTCCTCTAGAAGCTTTCAGAACCTCCGATATCGGATATAGCATATATATTAACGAAATTTCGTGTGGATTATGGTTTAAGGCAATGTTACAATCTCCCAATAAATGTTTTAGTTCGAACTACTATGACATAGGTTAGTTGGCTGATCAAAGATCGGACGTGGATATTAGTCTTATCACAAAGGCACTCGATGCTATTTATAGCTTGGTTATTTACTTCTTGACCAACCGTGAACGCGCTGTTAATGAGTTCAAGGCTTGTATCGCCGCTGTGCTATCTGAGTGAATGGTCACTTTTCTGAAGGAGGCTCCACTCCGGAGCAGTAAATAGCCAGCTAGTCTGAAACTGGAGTTGATAGAGAGTTCTTGACAGTAAACTTCTCAGATATCGGTCTGGCGACAAGTGATCCGGTATGAAGTGAAAGTGTGTGAGAATATCCGAATGTTCAGATACATGTTCTGTTAAGAAACCAGATTATCTGAGTCTGATAGCAACTTTCGCAGCCATTAATCTTCCAACGACGTCTCGGGCACTATGTGCAAGTTGGCGTTAAGTGCCATGATTGGAATGAACCTTGATGCACTGAACATGCTAATGAGCGCCTCCCGTTGAACACTCTCGAGTTTCTTTGCATGTGTCTTCTTTAGAGCCCTCCAGTACATAAAGACCCTGTAGAACATAATAAGCTTAACTGTGGCCTTTTTGGTTAGAGATCCCACCTGTGGCCAATGGCTTCTCTACAGCACTATCAATTGCCTCTTCCATCAAAGCTTCCTTTCCAGAAGGGGCTCTAGATATTTCACTGTATATTGGCAGACGTATTTGCGGCAGCGGTATCACCGGGATCTTATATCTTCTAGGAAGTGAAACCATCACGGCACTCGGGAACTTTCCTTTGACCAATGACATATAGTTGAAATACAAACTCTTAAGACAACGATTTTTTATACTTCTGTTAGGGGTATTACTTAATGCATCGGTACGCCCCAAGTTTAAACATTTTCTTGTTTTTTTTTTTTTTTAATTCTTTTTCGCTTACAAAAAGTTACTGTAGTTTGTTCATGTGCAATCGTTTTAAATAAGATCGCTACGAAAGTAGCTTTAGTTTGTACAATTTTAGTTTTACTCCTTTAGTTGTAACAAATTCTTTGAGAGTTATCTATTATTTATTGCCATTAAGACTATGAGCCTCTAAAATATTGTTAATAAGGCTTCAAAAGGAATACGTCGTGGTGCTTTTTGCCAGACTTTGTGTAGACCGACTCTTTCGAGTATTACCTTTATTTTTTGATATTCATTGTTTCCTTGTGAAGGTCATAATCTCATAATCATAATCGAGGTTGCATGTCCCCATCATGTAAAGAAAAATATCAGAAAATAGTCGCTGAGAATCAGATTTGGAAAATACGGTAAATGCGGAAGCAGTTCGAAGTCCAATTCATGGATTTTTGCCATCGTTTTGACTGACTGGTGACAGAGTGTACTGTCTTGACAAAATATCCCTTTATTTTTCTTCAAATGTGACCTTCTTTCGGCCCACGGTCCGATAACGCTATGGTAATAGTCACTAATGGTCTTTGCTTATTCAAGGTAGTCAATAAAAATTATTCCATACGGATATCTGTCGATTAGGCTTCGTTGTGACATTATGGATGCAAAAGCTCGGATTTATTACTCTTGAACATCTCCAAATTCGTCGTTATTTCTGGTCAAAAGTGAGCTCGCGTGGCACTCACTTTGCACAGAGCTTTTTCATACCCAAAAATTTCTGAATTTGTGATTGATGTACTCGTACACGTTCAAGCAGTGTCTGCTTTCTCGAAGGTCATCCAAAATTTGTCAAAAAGCAAACAAGAGATAGAACGTCGGGGTTGAAATATGTATGTATTTCATTATCATTGTACCTAGTATTTTCCAATCGCAATACGTATTTGTTAACTATTTCGCTTACTATTAAAATGGTTTTAGGTTTTCTATACAAATAGTGGACTTTATGTTTCGGATAATTTCCCATATTCCCAATTCCACCCTTTTTAATATCAGTTACTCTGGTATTGTGAATTTGAGAGTTTAATTTTGTTTTGAAAATGACGAATACCGTTAGGTGTAAAATATAATTCTAGACGAATTGTCTCATACTTATTTTACTTTCGTAATGGATTATTAGTAATTTGTTATTTTTTAACAGAACTCAATCGTTATCGCCTATATCGTGGTTAGTCATTATTGCTGATAACCATAAACGATAATTTTTAATACTAAATTAGCACGCAAATGCAAAATGTCAGATATTAAATTTTAATAACTTTTGTTATTTATTTAAAAAAAAAAATCTTAAATTTAAAATAAATAATTTTGAAATATTTTGTATAATTTTACTGGCTTTACTCACAGCTGTTTGATTCGTTTCCGGTACAATGCCCAACATCGGCTTGCACACAGTCACATTATACTCGTAAACCACCGTACACGTTTGATAAAGTATCTGATTCTGCAAAACAGCGCCTGTTTTTGGAGTTTTACACTTGTGAAATACTTTTATTTTCCCAAAAATTCTAACTCAACGCTTTTGAAGCAAACTTACTTGCAAGCACTGAGGCAACGTATATTAAAAACACTGCTGGTTCGATTATTGTACGATTTTTTGGCGGCTTTGGGGGCGTAAGCGTGTTGGCTGCCGCAAAATTAGAAATATCGTCGTGCTCTTGATTTGTTGGTAAAAATAAAATTTCGCGTTCCTCTACGTTACTTTGCGGCATGTTTGTACTTTAATTATTATTTATTAAATTAATTTACAAGTTCGATCACAGCAACTCTCTAATTAAGTGTCTCATAAGCGTTGTAAATCACTACTAAACAAAATAGCTTCGATATTTCATTGTTTGGTTTGCACTTTGCGCGCTCTTTGTCGGCGCTGCCACTATGTGAAATAAGTTTTGAGATTTTTATTGTATGTCTTGGGTATTTTTCGGTTTTCCTTTCCATTTTTGACAAAAAGAATATCTCATTATCAAAGAAACATTTTCCTCGAGTTTCAATAATATATTTCACAGATAGCCGATATTTTCAATATGCATACAATTGACTAAAGTATATGAACTCAACTGATTTTGTTACTTATTTCTGGGGAATTTTTTTTTTTCAATCTCTTGATCTCTTTTCTCTCTCAATAAATAAAAGTAATCTTAAAAGAAAAAAGAGTTTCGCGTTGGTACGTATGAATATCATTGAGTCTTTAAATTTTGTAAACAACAAACGAAAGAGAGAGTGGTAACCGCTCAGCTGTGTGTATTAACGCTCAATATTTACGACTAAATGAGTAGCTCTTCAATTGGCAATAGAGAGATAAATATATGTAAGTAAATAAAAACAAAATCTCCAAATGCATTTGAAGATAAGTGGCGCTATGAGTCAAACAGTGAAATAATACGCTATATAATATTTATGTGGAAGGTTTTTGGAGGCTACGGCCTGCAATAAACCTAATTTTTAATACCATTTGTATCAGAAGAATAAATTGGTTCTAGGAAATCAAGAAATATGGAACGAATTTCTCTATAGTCATACTGCCTACAATTACAGTTTACTATAGTAACTTATTAAAAAAGGCATTGAAATAGAAAAATTCTATCCAATAAAGAAACAGTTTTAGGTCTGATCTGTTTTTTGCCGGCCGGAAGCGTGCTGTACTTGTATCGTGATTTATATGTTGGTATACGAAATGTCAATAACACATGTTTATTTTGACAGCTATCTACCTACGAAATTGTATGCGTACCTCTATAAAAATATCCAAAAAGTTTCTTGAGAGGAAATTGAGTGTCTGACGTAGGTTATAATTGTTCTGCATTGAATAATAGTGACTTAACAAGTGATGCTATTTAGATATATCATATATATATTAGATATCACTGGGGATCTATACACGAAAAATTAAAATTGGTGAAGTTGAAAAAAGAGCATAAAACTGTTCAAAAATGAGTGAAAATAATGGAGAAATTCGCTATATTTTAAAATTTTTGTATATAAACGGAATGAATGCCACGCAAGCCACCAATGAAAGTGTGTTGTGAAGTTTATGGGAATGATGCTGTACAAGTTCGTGCAGCACAACAATGGTTGGCTCGCTTCCATTCTGGAAATTTCGAATCTGTGCGAAAAAGTTCATGGTCCAAACGTGGTGAAGCTTAACATATGACAAAAAGTAGTCCACCAAAATGGTACATATTTGGTTCAGGATTTGTGCATGAGTCAGTGCATGAGTTCCAAAAAGGTGCAAGTGTAAAAATGTTTGGTTTCACCCGAACTTAGCCCTTGCTTACTTGTTTATTATATTTTTGTACTTTATCTAAGCCTACATTATGGAAAATTAGATAATTATTTCCACCATAAGCCTTCACCTCATTACTGTTTATTAGTGAGCAAACATGACAGAGTTATAAGCACCATATACAAAGAAAATATGTAAATAGAGACAAATAGATAGATATTTCGAAAAGGAAAAAAAAAAATGGTTGTGGTTATTTTATTTTAAAATTCTTTGCTCAGCCATTGATATACACTCGTCCCCACGCAAACCTTACCACTATTTTTCGTTCGTTCGGGATTTTCTTAAATTTTGTTTTTTTATATGTTTTTAGTAAGCATAGGTATACTAAATTATTTTATCTAATTATAATTTTAGTTTTTAGTTTATTACATTTAATGAGTTATACAAAAGCGTCCGATTTTATTGTTTCTAAAGTGATACACTTACTAAATTTCAAGTGAAAAAATAATTAAAATTAATTTCAAATATAGTCCAAATTAAATTAAATTAAAAAAGTTAAAAATATAATTTTTTCATCGCATGTCAGAGTCTTACATTTCGAGCTCATTTTGTAAACCTCGCTAACTTTCAAATGATTTTGGCTATAGCTGAATGTGTTTTGTATTTAACTTTTAATATTTTTGATTATTAACATGTCATTAACTTATTTCTAAAAAAAAAATGTCTATACCGCAAAAATTACCGCTATAAAATTTGGTCAAATATGCACAATACTTGAAAATTTTGAGTGGCCACGAGTGTAAATCTGTTTTTATCCCGTTCCCACGACAGCCAGGTCTACGAAAACCGGATTTTTATCCGGCCAAGGACTGTCAACTCGGCAGAATTCTGCCGTTACAACAACAACAACAACATCTGTTTTTATCATATATGTATTTAAGTTTTTTCAATAAAGATATCTATCCGGACGAAGATTGAATTATCGCTAAATCCGGTAAATAGAGCTAGCCTGTCTATTTGTATGATAATAGGCGTTAACAGTAACTATAGAGGCAAAAGTATAGTTGGAAAAAAGTCGGAGAAATTTCAACAAATATGCATGAGAATAGTATTTGATCTAAAATTATATTTGTAAAAGAGTATGCCCCATCTGAAACTTTAGTATTTTCCATTTTCTGATATTTTGTGGATTACATTACAAAAGAACTGCGCCGACTTGGTGACCAAGAATGAATTATGAACAATTTTAATGCCTGGTACTGATGTGCACTGTATTCCAGTGAGGGCCTTCTTCATCGTTTGGAACAAATAGGATTCAGACGCGACAAGGTCGATGGTTGTAAAGCATGTGAAGCACAACTTACCACCCACTATTTTGCAAGCAATATTTAACTGATGTTCCAAACATGAGGCCGCTAGTTGCATTTTGGAAAATTGCCCGGTTCTTGTGGCGAATTGCGGTAATTTTTTGGCAATCGTTGCTACAATTTGATAAGTTCTTTTCAGTAGCGTTCGCCGTCAATGATTTCACTTGGTTTTAGAAACTCGTAATATAGCTCGCTTTTCTGATCCCACTAAATACAGAGTATAACTTTGACGTCATGGATAATAGGATTTGCTAGTTGCACAGGTTTTCCATATGGTTTTTTGCGTTTAGGGTTGTCGTAATATACCCATTTTTCCATCATCTGTTAACACCCGACGTCTTTGGTTTTTTTGGATTTAAGTAGCATTTGCCAAATCGTCTTTTAACACCGAAGGCGGTGAACACAGTAGACGCCCATAAGATTTTGTTATCGATAAAAACATTAAAAATAATTTTTCGATGACCGTGAGGTAAAATTTTTTAAGATAGCAATCACTCGAAAGATGTGAACCGATAGTGTAGTACATTATATTATTCACAAATATTTGGGTATGAGAAAACTCTGTGCCAAGTAGATCTCGCGAAAGCTCATTTTTGTTCAAACACAATGTCGAGTTGATAATTGGGAGCAGGGTTTGGAGTTGTTCAACCGCAATAAACCTGAGTTTTTGCGTCAGTATGTGACAATGAATGAAATATAGCTCCATCATTTCCCTCCGTAGTCCAATCACAGTCGTCCAAGTGGACTGCATATAATGAACCCGCTCCCAAAGCGTGAAAAAATGCTAAAGGTTCGATTATCCCACGGTTATCTCCTATTCAATTCGACGCAACTCTTAATTTCACTTAACAACTTGATTTCCAATAATATTCAAGATATGTGATTTATATCACTGATCACTTCTCCATTCACTCACTACACTTATTATCACTGGATATAAATAGTTTTATTTTATAGTAAATAATTACTTTAATTACCACTACTTCCATTTAATTACCTACGTAGGTATAATTAAAATAATTTGTGTTATGTGCGTACTCACTTTGGAAGTCTCATTTTTGGCAATAACTCCCAGCATAGGCTCACAGAGTTCTTTGTCGTAATTAAAGACAGCGTGACAGGTCTGATAGAGTTGTTGATTCTGCAAAACGGCACCTTTTTTCGTGAAATAAAAAATTACTCCGTTAAGTCTATTTCACACTGACACTTTTGTAGAATACGCAGAACAAGTGCCTTACCGGCCATTGCTGTGGCAACGTAAACCAGAAAGACTGCCGGCTCAATCACGGTGTGTTTATTTTTTTCCACAGGCTTGCTTGAAGCCATATTAATATTGGTACCCGGTACATCTTCTGGTGTTTTGGTTTCGATTATTTGAAATAACGGTAGCGGCGTAATTTCCGGTGTTGAAGTGGGTGTTAGCGGCATTGCAGTACCAACTTCGAAGACGAACTGCTCGAGAGAAGTCAACGAGTGTCGCGCATTCAGATTCAACGAGGTTGGTCGACGCGCTGCCATTGTGTGTTTCTTGTTTAAATTAAGATTTCGTTTTAAATCAGCAAAAACCAGTCACACAAATTTACTCCGTGCAGCTGCGCATCCGAGTTTATACTATATCGCTTTAAACTTCAGTTTAGTTACTATAATATATACAGACTTCACACATCTGCCTTGTTTAAATAGAGCGTGAGATAACGAGAGCGTTTCTATGATTGCACTTGTAGCTGGCTTATCCAAATACATAGATAATTTCGACATTAAACACGTTGACTCACCACCGACAGGTACTTTTTGGGTTTGTTTACATTTATTTCACACTCGCTGCGTTTTAGATATATTCTAATAACCAGTGTACGTCAGACTGAAACTATGTACTATGTTTATTTTCCTATACCTAGCTAGCTATAGTTAGCTATAGCGTCAGTAAGGTAATACTGCTACGTAATTTCGAAGAAATTTCGAAAGTGTTTTAACAAAACTGACTTTTGTTTATTATTATTCTTTTTAATGTTTTTATTAGTTTATTCTTAAAATGGCAGACGTTTTCTGCGGTTGCTACAGTCCGAAAGACTCTAATATTGGTAAAAACTTTTTTCGTATTTCAAACTTCAAGTTGTCGACCACTTTTTGCCACTTTTCCGCTAGATACATCATTCCATCAGTGTAAAACTTTTCTGGCTTCCCGGCGCTAAACTGCTACAAGTAATTTTCACAGGCATCTCTTGAAGCCAACTTTACTCCATTAAGGGAGTTCTGCATTGATTGAAACAAATGGTATTTCGATGATGCAAGGTCTGGGCTATATTGTGGATGCATCAAAACTTCCCAGATAAGCTCTCCCAGATTTTGCCGATTAATCAAAGATGTGTGTAGTCTAGCATTGGCTTGATGGATCTGTTGATCTGTTCTGTCCGTTTTCTTTCGATTGCTTGCTTCAATCTAATCAGTT